GTAAAATATTCTGATTTATTAGAAAAGCATATAAATGTAATTTAATTAAAGGCTTATATTACCTAGTTATGATTTTTTTTTTCTATGCTTGAAGTAGAAAAAATTTGTAATGAAAGACCTTTTGCTTTTAATTGTTGCATAAATAAAGGCACATGTTTTGTGAACACATGTATATATAGTATTATGTTTGCCTTCTGATAAAGTCCAGGATTTTGTAAAGAATTTATATAACCCTGAGTTGGATAGCAAAAAGTTCAAACCCAATTTTCTGTATCAACTTTATACTGATAAATTTTTTGATCAGTAAGTTGTGATTGGTATAAAATATTATATAATCGATGAAATTCATGCCACAATTTTCTCTACGCACACCAGAAATAAACTAAGATACTGGAAAATTTTCTAGCATTTTTTTTTTATCTGTGCCTATTAATGAAGTTCAATCCTATTTGTTACCTGATTTAAAAAACTTTAACTGAATTGAGAGATCTTTGAATGCTGCTTCAATAGTTGGCTTTAATTTTTTTTTAAATTCTTTTTGTTTAGTCAAATCATTAAAAAAGCATTCTATTAATACGTCTAATATATGTAAAAGCAGATACAATTTATCGGGAATATAATTTTTTTGATTAATAGCCGGGAATATAGCAGGTTTTTTTGCACCTAATTAAAAATATTCAAATAAAAAATATATATTGTACCCAGATATGATTCAGAATCAGGCTGCCCAAATGAGAATTTTGTAACAGAATTAGTACTTTAGGGTTAGTACTAAAGTTTGAATTAGAATAGTATAGCGCTGCATATAGTACTTCAAGTATTTTACAAAAAAGCTGGCCTAGATTAAATAATACCTCCAAGTATTGAGGATAGAAGGATAATGCAAATAATCGTTACTGATTAATATACACTTTGCTATTAAACATATCAAACTCAATAAAAAGATCACACATTAATTATGAAAATTAGGCCACAAATCGCTTGTCAAAAAAAAGAGGAATACTATCTCAGAGAGGTACTATATGCAGCGCTATACGGTATAGCTTCGAACAAAATTACAAAATTCTTATTCAGGATAGTTCCTGATTCTGAATCAAGATTATCTGGGTACAACATATATATTGAATATAAAAAATTTAAATATCATGAAAAAAAATATATACATAGATGATTATATAATAAAATTTTGAATTTACTTAAATAATATAAATATTACATTTGAAATTTCCAGTATTAGCCCAAACTTGATCCATATCCCACCAAGATGCTGTATCACAATTATAATATAAACAAAAATAGTTCGTATTTGGAGTGTTTAATCTCATTACTATGTATATAAATTTCTAATTCCCACAGAAGTACAATTTGACCAGCCAATAAACGCTATCACGATTGTAAAAACTATTATTTTTAAGAACTGAAAATTCATACTAAAATATATGTCCAACTTTCATTAGCATGTCATATCTCTCCTGCCTAATATATAGACAAATGCTTAAAATAGCAAATAATATAAAACTTAATACTTAAATAATAATAATTAATAAATACAGTAGTTAAAATTAATTTATAAAATTTATCAATATTGATGATCTGGCTTAAGAACCTCTCTATCTTCATTTAAAAACAAACCATCACTATTACATGGTTTTGCTTACAGCCTACATTATGACCATCACCACCAAGTTTTAACTCAATTGTATCTCCTGGAATAAGAGTTAGTGGTGAAGATTGTTTCCAAATAGAAACAAGAATGTCCAAAATAAATTTGATTGCTCTATAGGCACCATTTCTGATTTCTAATTGTCTATTTAATATTTTATCAGTATTAAAAGTCTCAATTCTAATTTTTTTATTCATTATGTTAGTTATTTCAATTCTTTGTATTGCAACTTGATGCTCTCGAATGAGTTGGGGTTCAATGGCAGCCAGACAGTGGTAGCCATCATGGGACAACAAGGATTCATCACATGCTTAAATAGTAGCATCTAATTTAGAAAGTTCTATTTTCTTATTAAATAAATAGTAATTCAAATTAACATTTTCATTATTAATGTCCAATTGAATACTGTGCACATAAACAAGAGGCTGTTGATTTTTTGTAACTAATTGATGTTGTAAAATTAGTGATGACAATTCTTTTCCAGATTTTCTTCCAAAGGCAACAAATCGCTTATTTTGCCCTAATGTTGATTGCACACTTGAAAAAGGTCTTTTTTTAATATTTTTTTTTATTTAAAGGTGCTGAGATTACATTTGGGCTGTAATATAATTCAACGTTTGATTGCTTATCAGAATTTCCACTACTAGAAAACTTCAAATACCATTCAAACGCCTTTTTTTCATCTTTAGGAATTCCTATACCATGTTGGTAGCAATTTCCAATATTTGATTGTCTATTAGAATTTCTGCCCTCAGCAGATTTCAAGTACTATTTAAAAGCCTTTTTTTCATCTTTAAGAACACCTATTCTATTTTGGTAACAGTTTCCAATATTTAGTTTTCCATCAGAAGTTCCACTCTTAGTGGATTTCATATACCATTCAAATGCTTTCTTCTTAGAGGACTATCACTTATTACGTAATTATAGCTCCCCTCCAGAGTTAATCATTTGACAATTACAAGTTCTAAAGTAATTATAATATGAACTCTATATGATTGGTTATTTTAGAGCTTGCAATTGTCAAATGATTGATTACTTTAGAACTTGTAATTGTCAAATGAATGACTCTGGAGGGGGGCTATAATTACATAATAAGTAATGGTTCCCTTGTCTTTGGGAACGTCCATCCTATTTCAGTAGCAATTTCTAACATTTAATTGTTCACTGGAATTTCCGCCCTTAGCAGATTTCAAGTACCACTCGAATGCTTTTTTCTCATCTTTAAGAACACCTATGCTATTTCGGTAACAATTTCTAATACTTAATTGTCTATAAGGATTTCCACCCACAGAGGATTTCAAGTACTATTCAAATTTCTCTTCCTCATCTTTAGAAATACCTATGCCACTTTGGTTAAATTGTTCATTAGAATTTTCGCTATTTGTATGCTTTTTGTTAACCTTGTATGTTGAATTTAATCCATATTTTTGTTTTTTATTTGGGCTTGAATTTCTATTAAATACCACCAACTCTGTATAATGTTTATGACAAAGTTGATCATTTAAATTAAGCTCAACCTTCAAATTTAGAGCAGCTGGGCTTTGCATAGCTTTGGACAAAAGACTTGGCATTAATATGTGAAACCTTTCTTTAAGACCATGTTCACCACATATTGTACATGGACCTATGTTTTTACATGGTCTACCCACTGGCATTGTCACTAGCAAGAATTTTGGATCTAAAAAAAAGAATTTTGGATCCTTGAATCCGGGGTCTTGTTGAATACGAATATGAAAATTCAAGGTGTATTATATTTAGAAAATGTTTATTTTTACGAAGTCCTAAATTTACTATATTTACTATTGTGTTAAATAAATCAACCAATCAGCGTTTACTTTGCAATAATCACATTTTTTGTGATCGGAGTCAAATCCGCCCATATGATTATTGAGAATAAAAGTGATTTTTTGATCTACTCATAAATTTGTACCTGATTGTAACCTGATGCTTATAAATTTTGTATGTATGTACGTACGTACCTAATTGTGACCTAATTACTTATAAATCTAATAATCACTGTTTCAACTGATATGGAACATTTAATAACATAGCGATACGTAGTTTAGTATATCGTTATTTGTCATCAATATCGTCACAGCGCAGCGGTATGTATTCAGCCATTTGGCGCACCATTTTTGAACCCAGACCAATTTTATATATGACATAATAACATCTTTGAAAAATAATTAGCTACTACTTGATAACCTTTTCCGGATGCCAACAAAATCAGATATAAAATTATGCAAAATTATGTATATGGTTGGTTATGACTCGTTGGTAAAACAGATAAACTTTATATTATTATCGTAAATAAGTTACGGAGTTCATTAATCAATGTGGATGGAAATATAGAAAACAAATATAGAAAATCAATAATAACTTACATGTATGAGTCGTCGCAGCTCATCTTTACGCATCACTCGTATTAATAATATATACCCTAAATGCAATGGTCTTTTAAAAAAGTCACTTAAATTATATAAATTATATAATAAAATTTCACTTTAGATCGAAACTTACTTTGTCAAAATCTACAATAGTTTCTTAAAAAATGGTTATTTTTAAGTCGAAATACCCTGATATTGAAATTCCTTGTGATGTTGGGATTTATCAATTTATCATGAGTAATCCAAATAAAATTCCGGACGACAAAGAGGTGTTTGTTGACGCCATAACTCATAAAAAGATTACTTTTGGTGATTTGAAGAGAGATACAAAAAGATTTGCTGCAGGATTGCAAGATCATGGATTCAAACGTGGTGATGTTCTATGCATCTATTCTCCAAATCAGGTTCAAATTTTTTATTTTTTTGATTGTATATAACTTCGTTTAATTATAAACAAATATACTGTTTACTTTAGGTTGACTATGCAACTGTTGTATTTGGATGTTTAGCAGCCGGTTAAATAACATTAGATTATATTAATTACTATTATCTTTATTATGTAACCAAAATTTCTAATATATCGACTTTTTTTTTATCTTTTAGGAGGAAAAGTATCACCAGTCAACTCTTCGTACACTGCAAAAGAATTAGCATGCCAACTACTCGATTCCGGTGCCACTGTTATAATTGCACATCCAGATACCATATCAACAACAATTGAAGCATCCATTGACGCAAAAATTCCTAAATATAATATATTTGTATTCGGTGATCATGAAGTTAATGGAATCCAACCTTATACCAGCATACTTAGTATATGTGAAACAGAACCTGTTTGCTTTACACCAGAAGAAATTAAAACCACCACTGCATTCTTATGCTACAGTTCTGGAACTACGGGTAGAAATAAAGGTGTAGAAACAACTCATTATAACTTAATTGCTAATCTTATGCAAATCCGTGCTTTTGAAGGGGATAATGTTCATAGTAGCCTTTGTTATCTTGGAGTATTGGTAATTATATAGCTTTATACTTCGATAAAAGTGATAGATAATAAGTGCATTTAAATTATATCTCTTTTTTTCGTGCAACTTTTATAGCCATTCTACCATATGTACGCACTTAGTATCAACCTACACTTCTCTCTTCTTCTGGTAATACAGTATTTTAAATTCAAAAATCATTCTATATTGCACTACCTTTATGATTCCGTTGATATCATGTATTTTTTTATTACTTATAATTTTAAAAGGGATCAACAACAATCGTAATTCAAAAATTCGATATCGAAACGTACTATAGAGCGATTCAGGATTACAAAATTGATATCGCTCCAATTGTACCACCAATCTTGTTACTTATGGTGAAAAATCCTGCTAAATGTAATCTAAAATATGTTATGTGTGGGGCTGCTCCTTTAAGTCAATCTTTGAGCGATGATTTTGACAGAATATACCATATTCCTATTAAACAAATTTATGGTAAAGAAAAGTTTTTAACTCTGTATTAAAAAAGAAAGATAAAAAATGACTATTATTTTTTCAAATAGGACTTACCGAGATCTCTCCATTATCTCATACTGGACCTCTTGAAAAGCTTGTAAATGGTAAAGTTAACTGCTTATTATAAATTTTAAATCATTAATGAAAAATTTTATCTGATAAATTATCTTATATTTAGGATCCGTTGGAGTTCTTCTTCCGAATATTGAAGCAAAGATCATATCCGAAAAAGGTCATGGTAGGGCAGCAAAGTTTTTAATTATCATTTATATTACTTAAACTGAATATCATTAATATCATTAAATATAATCGATATTGTTATTTATTTTATAGAACTCGGATTTGATCAACCTGGAGAATTATATCTTCGTGGTCCAATGGTCATGAAAGTAAGTATCATTTATTTTAAATGAATTTATGATCTGATATTAAATAAATTTCATATTTTAATTAAAAGGTTAACATAAATAAATGCAGGGTTATCTTAATAACCAGGAAGCTACCAATAACTGCATAGATAAGGATGGTTGGTTTCGTACAGGAGATGTTGTTAAAGTTGATAAAAATGGTAGTTAAATGACATATAATCAAACAAGCTCTTAAAACAAGAATATTAATTAATGTTTTATAGGGTATTTCTATGTAATCGATCGTGTAAAAGAATTGATCAAATATAAGGTAAAATGAATATTAATAAATTTTACATATTTTTTCAATAACCTTTAAAAAAATCAACACGTCAAATTTCACCACCTTAGGGTTTCCAAATAGCACCATCAGAATTAGAATCTCTCCTTTTAACACATTCTGCGATAGCTGACGCAGCTGTAATCGGTGTGTACTCAGAAGAAACAGCCACCGAAATTCCACGTGCATATGTCGTACCAAAAGGACACGAACCAACCACGAAATTGAAAAAAGAAATTATACAATATGTAGCAAGTAAAGTGACGTATATTAAACGATTAAGAGGTGGTGTGGTATTTATTGATAAAATTCCTAAAAGTGCATCGGGAAAGATTTTGAGGAGGATGTTGAGAAATGGCATAGGTTTTAACGAGCTTACATTAAAAGAATCAATGTTAAAATCGCGTTTATAAAGTGTTGAAAAAAAAAACCATCTAGAACTATGAATTTGTCGTTTTGCTGATAGAAAATAATCATCCATGTTTTCTAAAGAATCCATTTGATTTCATGTTAAATACAAAATTTAGTAATATCAGTATATAAATATAAAATTGCATATAAGAAATTTAGTACTAAATAATTCTTTTAAATTAACATTGTAATTCCTGTAGAAAGAGGGCAAGCTATTTTTAATAATAGGTGCAGGAAGCATAATTACCGAATTACTGAATTATTCGAAGGCATTACGGTAGATACGATAAAATTAAAACACTTACGTCTTTTTCTATCGACATTTTTTTTATTTTATACTCAATAATGTTATACTGTATTATAAACTTCTAGCATGATATAAAATTGCATTTGACTACCAATAAGATGAGAGAGAGATAGTATGACAGTGCAATTTCTGTTCGCCCATTTTAGAAGGGTTCAAAAACTAAATTGAATTGATTAATTTTTTAAGGCAAGTCCTTGGCGAGAATGCCCTCTAATATTACGCAGATCAGTATGTGCAGATTAGAGTGTCTAGGATTATGATGCGAAGATTGCCAAATTATGCATGCGACAAATTGTATTATGCGAAACTTAAGTTATTGGCCAATTAAATTCAGAAATGCATGACAAGTCAGGTGATTATAGTTAAATGTACAAACCGGTTAGCATAAAAGTAAGCCAATTATGCAGCATAATCCTAGACACTCTAGTGCTGATCCAAGCAAATTGAAAATTAAGTAATTTGATTGGATTCGCACACGTGAAAATAAGCACTGAGGCCAATTTTTAATTGCATCAAGCCAGAATAACTAGTTCATATATATATGGAAAATTATATTCGAACCTGGGACTTTCCAAATAACGATTTACTACTCATTAAAGGTTTTGGTGGTAATATTTCTTTGTTATAATTAATTATTATTAACATTCGATTTTTCTCAGCTTTAAGCTGCAAAAAAAAAATGAAATTATTTGTTTTTTCTATTAATATATTTACAATTTAAAATTTAAGTAGACATTCCCGTCCATATGTATCTATGAAGTTGTACCTGCTATGTTTAATATACTGAAGTTGTAAGTATTTAGTACAGTACATGGCACTTAAAGGTAATTTAGTGGCTTTACTTTTAAGATAATTATTACGTAACCGAATTTTTCGCTGACTTATACATGACTTTGAAACCAATTGCCAGTAAAATTATGTTTATAATACTCAACAATGATAAACATTGGAACTTCACTTTGATTTCTTGTGTTGAATTCACAAAAAAAAATGCATCATATTTTTAAAGCTAAACAACTCGTTTAAACAATAAAATATAATAATGACTTGAACCAAACATGATACATTAGTTATGCCTGATACCGCCAAAATTGGGTACATTTATACAATATTTACCCATTTTAATCTAATTTAGTTAGTTATGTACAGTATTAAGATCTTTTTATCCAATGTATTAAAATTTGTGAATTCAAAATTTTGTTATTTGTTAATTTAACATGCATTTAAATAACTATTTAAATTCGGGAATAGTGCTTTCAGCTTTGGTAACTGTTTAAAATCATGAATGTGTGTATTTAATCACATTTATTCGCTGTAATTAAGAAAAATGTATAACTGATAAGCCGACAAAATAATGGTTTAAGTACCACGTGGGTGGATGATCTCTACTTCTGTATATGATTGGCCGATTATCATGTGTTTGATTGACGCAAAGTGGCCAATCTATGTGATCTTGCTTCTGATTGGTTTTTATACGCGTCTATTGTTTATCGTTATGCGTTGGCAAAATAAAAAAGGTATATATAAGAATCACTTTTTCATCTTTTAGCCCTTTCACACACCAATTCATTTTTCTTTTTTTTTCTCAATTTTTTTTTTTTAATATTTTTCCTTGATATTCGTATATTTTTTGATACTACACTAATATACTTTATTTTACCCGTTGTTTACAGAAAATGATATTTTTAAAGATATTTTAACGTTCCTTGAAATTAGAGGCTTTAATATTTTTTTTTATTTTATTTATTTTTTTATTTTATTTTATTTTTTTTTAATATTCGTATATCTTTTGATATTACACTAAAATACTTTATTTACTCGTTGTTTACAGTATTTTTAAAGATATTTTAACGTTCCCTAAAATCGAGGCTTTTTTACATTTATTTTATTTTATTTATTTATTTTTTTTTAATATTTTCCTTTAATATTCGTATATCTTTTGATACTACACTAATATACTTTATTTACCCGTTGTTTACAGAAAATGTGATGATATTTTTAACGTTCCCCGAAACCAGAGGCTTTTACATTTTTTTTATTTATTTTTATTTGTTTTTTTATTTTATTTATTTTTTTATTTTATTTTTTAGGCCTTTGATTTCAACTGTTTTGGATAATATTAGATATTTTAAAATAATTTTTTATTAATTATATTTGACACTTATTTATTTTATTTATTTTTTTTTATTTTATTTTTAGGCCTTTGTTTTCAACTGTTTTGGAAAATATTAGAATATTTTAAACTAATTTTTTATCAATTATACCCGATATTTATTTATTTCACTCCTTTTTTATTAATTATATTCGATATTTATTTATTTCACCCCTTTTTTTCTCGTGTTCCTTCGAGCGGGTCACGTTTTGTCAATATGGACCTTAAAGCAAAAAACTGGCAAGCGGCAGGGGTTATCTAATCAGTTCTTGCTCGAGGAACTGAGGTTTGATAAAATTCCCAGCTCACTTGAGTTTTCGCGAGTCCTTTGTCAAGACATTTTTTTTTTTTCTCGTGTTCCTTTCGAGCGGGTCACGTTTCGTCAACGTGAACTTTAAAGCAAAAAACTGACAAGCGGCAGGGGTTATCTAATCGGTTTTTGCTCGAGAAACTGAAGTTTGGTAAAATTCCCAGCTCACTTGAGTTTTTTGCGAGTTCTTTGTCGAGACATTTCCCTAGTTATAGGATACACCTCTATGTGGTGACTAGGACAAGTAAGCTATTTTTTTAGCTGAAACTAAGTATCCTTCTAACGAATAAAATATATTGGCGGTATTATAAATATAGTATAGTCGAAGTTATATTGTAGCAAAAATAAAAAAAAAATTGTATTTATGTATATGTATTTTAATTACAAATATATAATAATAAATAAATAAATTAAATTGTTTTTTATATTAATTAAATATTATTGCAACAAGTTTATTATTTATTGAAAATACTGTTTATAAGATGTTTATTAACTTTAATAATATTTTGTCGTATTTGATTTTAACTGTGGGATAATTTTTAAAACTAAACTCGCCCGGATAGTAAATTTTGACCCGAACGGGTTATGAAAACCTATTTATTAAATTTGTATGGCCTAATGTGAAAAAAATTCACTTAAAATATTGAAATAACCAGTTAGATTCTTTGTCGTTATTTTATGCATTTGGTGTATGCGTAAAATATATAAGTGGTATAAATATGACCTTTCAATAAGTTATAATTTTTAATTGGCATGTATTTACCTTCAAATATTTATAAAGTTTAGATCGATATAGATATTCGAATTATGTACATGACATTTATGTTAGACGTTTTTGCAATTTAATTCTTTTGTTTTCAGACCGACCGACTTATTTAATCCTTTCAACTAATCCAGTAACTGCTCTTAATCAGTCAAGGTTGTGTCATGAATAACCTACTTTATAGAGTTTAATCCGAACTCGTATTGCACTACGTACAAGGAAGGCATGGCACAATTTAAAATTCCTAAATTTATTATGAATACTCGACATTCTGTATAAATTCGGATATTAGTGTTAAGGACCCCATTTTTACTAATTCGCACAAATGGATGGATAACTTTTATTTCAAATAAAAAAAAAAAAAACGAATAACTATTTTAAAGGTTTTATTTTTTTATTATTTTTTTTTAAAAAACATATAAAGTTTGATTTTCAAAAATCTTATGATTCGTCGTTGTATTGATGCACATTTTAATTAATTTTTTTTTATCTATCTAACGTAAATAGTCCATTAGTAAAATAGCAGATAAATATTAAAAGTGTACAAATGCAAACTTTTTAAAGACAGTCTTACATTTCTTATCATAATATTTGAAATTTGGAAAACAGAATATTAACTTTATCATTTATTCTAAATATAAATTAAAAAAAAACAAAATAGCCTAATGGCTTTTCTATAAAATTAAACCAAATCACAATTTTTATAATATAAACTACTGTAATATTAATGCCACAGTAGAGCTTAAACTCTACAAATTAATATTTTTCAGCCATTATCAACGTAACTAACGATGTCCAACCGTTAAACGGATGACTATTTCAAACAATATTATTTTACTAAACCATAATTAAATTAAAAAAATCTCATTACACAAGTAAAAAGTATAAAAAAAAATACCTTCTTACTCCTTCTCCATTAATAGAAGAATATTGTTCCCATGAATACCCTGTTCTATTAAACTCCTAAAATTCAAAAACATTACAATAATTAAACATTATCTAAATATAAACTACATACATAATAGGTATGAAATATAAAACTTACTTTATAAACATTATTAATTATATTATCTCTTAATTCTTTATATATTTTTCTTGCTTTTTCTTGATACGGTCCAGGTTTTGTTGCATAATTCTATTTTAAGTGATCAAAATAAAATTGTTCAAATATAGTTAATTCGAATTATAATTAATAATACAAAAAATAAACAAGTTATAAACCATTACGATCATAAAATATAAAGTAACTTACTTTATACAAAGATGATAAAGCAAAATAATTAACATTTATCCAAACAGGTCCTCTCCAATAATTTTCCTCTGTATTAAAATATTTATCTGATTTTGAAAGTGATCTTAATCCATATCTTATTTGATGATTGTTAATTTTGATTTAGATTTATTATTAAAAATAATAATCTATATTTGGCCAAAAATTTTTTTAGTCCTCTTTTTATTAGCAAAAAGGAT